GGACCATCCCGGGACCATCCCGGACCGTGCTGTGACCGTGCCAGGACCATCCCGGGATTATCCCGGGACCGTGCCGGGACCATCCCGGGACCATCCCGGACCGTGCCGGGACCGGGGACACCGGTGAGGGGGCGTGGCCTGCCCGACATGGGCGTGGCCTACGCGGGTGGGCGTGGCCGTGGGCTCGCGCGCGCCGGCTGTGGGCGGGGCGCGCCGCGGTGTGGGCGTGGCCCGGAGCTCCCGCGCCTGCGCAGTGCGGGCCGGCGAGGCGTGCGGCCGCCATGTCGCCGCGGAACGGGCGGCGCACCGGGGCGCACCGGGCGCACTCGCTCGCCCGGCAGCTGAAAACGAAGCGGCGCCGGAGAGACCTGGACGAGATCCACGCGGACCTGAAGCCCGAGAACGCCGCGCGGCTGCTGCGGCAGGAGATCGACCCCGACCTGCCGGGCTGCGCCCAGTTCTACTGCCTGCACTGCGCGTGCGTGCGGCGGGGCATCCCGGGGACATCCCGGGGACATCCCGGGGGCTCGGGGGGACGGCTTCAACGTTGGCATGGGCTTGTCCTGCTCCGGGGGATCCCTGGTTCCCAGGGGAGATGCGGGAGTTGTCCCTGAGGTTCCTGGGAGGGGCTGTTCAGGTCCCGGGGGTCCCGGTCCCCTCGGAGGGGCTGCCCTGGTCCCAGGGTAGTCCCTTCTCCTGGCCGGAGGGCTCGAACCCTGGGGGCAGTATCTTGTCCTGGTCTCAGGGTGACCCCAGGCCCGTGCAGGGGTGTGGTGGGACCCTGACCCCTCGGCAGGACCCTCCCCAGCCCCCCTTCAGTCTCGGGGTCCCCCTGACCCCTCTATCTTTTCCTACCCCAGGCGCTACTTCGTGGACCTGAACAGCATGAAGGAGCACTTCAGATCCAAGGTGCACAAGAAGAGGTAAGGGGAGGCACAGACCCCGAATTCCCCGGGGTGAGGCAGGGGCAGTTTGGGCAGGCTCTGCTCAGAGGCGCAGGTGGAAGCTTCGCCCCCTGTGTGCCCCCAGGCTGAAGCAGCTGCGCGAGGCTCCCTACACGCAGGAGGAGGCTGAACGAGCCGCTGGGATGGGCTCCTACGTCCCCCCGAAGAAGGTGGAGGTGCAGACCCAGCCCCTCGAGGAGGTCACCGAGATGGAGACGTCCGGCTGAGCGCGGGGACGGGGGACTGAGTGGCTGAGTGGCTCTGTAAGGACATCTTTGTCCTCAGCTTTGTGAGAAAAACGTGTCCCAGCACTGCCAGCCAAATCTGCCCTGCTCCTCCCACTGCCCCCCTGGCCAGGGCACTGACGAGGAGAAGCCTGGTGCTGTCCCTGAGTGTCCTTCTCCTCCACAAAGGGACTCTTTGCTTGTTCTCCGAGTGCTGGTGGGACTGCACGCTTGTCTGCCTGCTTTTGGAGCAGTTTCTGCTCAGTCCTTGGGTCAGAGGTCATTCCAGTGATGCACCCATTAAAATATGTCAACTGACAGTGTGGCAGCATTGAGTTTGAGGGTGACAGTCCCCCCAGAGTGGGAGGGGACACCTCAGTGTTGTTCTTTTCCCCGTTACCCAGAGGTGTCCGTGCCAGGAGCCTCATCCTGGAGCTCTTGCCTGGCAGGGTGGTAAAAGCCCCTCTGCCCTCCTGGCAGGGAGTGCCCAGGCAGCTGTTTGTGGGGAATGTGAGTTTGAGCAGTCTCTTCACCGGGCACTTGGGTTTGCAGCAGGCAGCTGCTTTGGGCCTTGAAAGGGCACTGCTGGTGTCCCCTTGGTGAGGACACTTTGAGGCTCCTGTCCCACCAAGCCAACTCCTGCAAGTGATTTCGTGCTCCTGCAGGGCTGGGGGTGATGGGCCTCCCTGCCTGGTGCTGGTGCCCCTGAGGGGACGCCGAGTGACAATGCCACCGAATTCCTGCGGAGTGCGTGTCCCAGTTCATCCCTCCTGCCAAGCTGGGCCCTGGGAATGTGCTGGGAAGGGCAGACAGAGCAGTGACACAGCTGTGCTGGGTAGGGAAGGGTTTATTTCCACGCTGCCTGCCCGGATTTGTCCTCCCCGAGCCCGGGAAGGGGGGAGAGCCCGCAGCTCTGCGGGGGCTGGGAAGGCTGCAGCCGCCATCCCAGCGGGATGCACCGGCCAGGGACACGGGATGTGCCTGGACACGGGATGTGCCTGGACACGGGATGTGCCTGCCGGGGACACACACGGGATGTGCCTGCCCAGGGTCACGTCCCCCTGCCCGTTACCTAACGGCGCTGGCCTCCTTCCTGCGGGGCCGTGGCCACAGCACGTTCCCGTGGGGACGGGGGGCTCTGTGGTCCCCAGCTGGGCTCCCCAGGCCCCTCTGCTGCCGCGGGGGATGGGGATGGATGCAGCTCCCGGCTCTGCCGTCCCTCTGTCCGTCCAGCCTCTGCTCTGGTGGCCGGATCCCGATGTCCCCCCGTGGCTCGGGCCGGGTTTAGCCGGCAGCTCCGGAGCTGGAAGCGGCTTCTCCGTTCTCCACGCCGGCTGCCCCAGGCGGGGACAGGCGGGGACAGGCGGGTCCCCATCCCCAGGGCGGTGGGAAGGGCTGCGTGTGGCGCAGGTCAGCTGCGGAGAGTGGCCGCAGCCGCGGCTCCGCTCGGGCGGGGGGTGGCTGGCGGGGGGCACCCCAACACGCCCCGGGGACCGTCCCCACGGCCCCCAGCCCGCTCCTCACGGCTCCGGGGGGGCCTTGGCGGGGTCGGCCATTCTCCGGGCGCTGTAGAGGGACAGGCAGAGCCCGGCGGCCGCCAGCAGCAGGGCCAGGGGGGTCAGCAGCCGCCCCCCCGGCTCAGCCCCACGTCCCGCTGCCAGCTGCATCTGTGGGGACACGGAGAGCAGAGGGGAGCACGGAGTACCCCAAACCCCACGGGGACAAGGGCCCGAGGCCATGCCCTGAATGTCCCCATCACACTGGGTGATGTAAAGGCAACGGGGGCAGCTTCGTGCCCCTCTGGGCATCTCAGGAGGGGTTTAGGATGCCCCGTGCAGCACTTGCGGGCCCCCATGGGCAGCATCGTGGCTGCCAGCGAGGAGCCCCTCATTGAACGGGCAGGGCTCCCGCAGGCCTGGCGGGCAGCGGCGTGCCGGGGCTCCCGGGGGGCTCCCGGGGGCTCCCCCGGCCCTGCTCGCCCCTTACCTGCAGCAGACGGAAGTAGCCGGGGGTCAGGCGTCGGGGGCGGATGATCATGGCGAGACGAGGAGCAGCGGGAAGGGGCCGTGGGGCGGCGGCAGCAGCGGGGCTGGGACCCCCCGAGCCCCCCGGCAGCGCGGGGCTCCGCGGGCAGGGCCAGGGCGCGGCACCGGCGGGCGCGGAGCAGCCGCTGTCAGCCGCGATCAGCGCCCGCTGCTCCCCGGAGCGGACACGCCGGGCGGGGGGGCCAGGGCCAGCCCAGGGTGGATTTGGGGGGGCTGAAGGGCTGGGCTTAACTGTGGGTGAGCTGCTCTGCAGGCCTGTATGGGGCTGCCTCAGTTTCCCCAGCTGTAAAGGGGTGTGAGTTATGCTTTGGGTTTGGCGTGACACCCCAAAACCTCCAGGGCTGAGCAGGGGCTTCCCTCGTGTTCTTCTGGGGGTCTCTGTGGCCTAACTTCGCGCCCACAGGGCACTGGGGGTGTCCCACCGGTGTCACAAGTGCTGTCGCTGCGGGGTGACACCGGGCGTCATTTCCCGGGCTTCCAGCGGCCGTGTGTCACCGTCCGGGCTGTGACTCACCGCGGCCTCGCCCCACGGCACCGTCCCGGGCCGTGCTGGGCGGGCACGGCGCTGAGCGGCACCCGGGAGCGCCAATGGGGCTGCGGCTGCCGGCGCAGGTGGGAGCCGCGCCCGGCGCAGGTGAGAGCCGCGCCCGCCGCCGCTCCGGCCCCGCCGCCGCTCCGGCCCCGGCCCCGGCCCCGCCGCTGCCCCGGCCCCGCTCCGGCCCCGGCCCCGCCGCCGCTCCGGTCCTGCCCCGCCATGGAGCCCGTGCGCTCCTGGAGCCCCGCACAAGCGGCCGCCTGGCTCCGAGGTGAGTCCCCGGGCTCTGCGGTGGGGTGTCCCCAGCTTGGGGACATGTGGCTGGGGGTGGCAGTACTTCCCGTCCTTCTTCTCCTCCCCGGGAGGGGCATTCCCTGGATGGCGGGCGGGAAGGGGTCTGGCCAGTCCCACCTCTTAGGTAGAGGCCCGGTGAGCTGGTGGCATGGAGGGGACCCTCCCATCAGCCAGGGGTCACCCCTGGGGTCACCCGGCAGCGGGGACACTGCCAGGGGGACTGGTCCGTGGCAGGGCTGGACGCGGCGGTGCAGGGGTACCCCTTCGAGGCCTGGGGGCTCGCGGGGCCTGACCTGCTGGCGCTGGACGCGGGGGTCCTGGAGGCACTGGGCGTGCGGCCCTTGGGACACCAGGAGCTGCTGCTGGAGGCCGCGGAGCAGCTCCGGAACCTGGTGAGTGCTGGCAGCCCGGGGGCTGCGGGGTCCCGGGGAGGAGCAGAGGGACGTGGGGGTTGCCTGGGCTGAAGGATGAGCATGTGTCATCAGCCTGGGCTGGGTGGAAGGGGCCCGATGGGGTCACCTTGCTCTGGATGGAGGTGGGGACACAGGAGCACCCTGGACTCAGCAGAGAGGGGTTCTGAGGAGACCCTGAGCTGGGCAGAGGGAGGGACACCCTGGGCTGGGTGAAGGTGGCACCCTGAATGCCACCCTGCCCGTCCATCCCCTGGCACCCTTGTCCTCCCCAGGACACAGGGCTGGCGAGCACCAGCCTGCGGACGCTGACGGAGAGGCTGCAGGAGCTGGCACAGGGCATCCCGAGCCTGGTGCAGGCAGGGCTGTCAGCAGGGGATGGCCCCCAGCCGCCTTCCCTCACCCTCCTGGCCCGAGTCATCGACCTGGTCGGGGCTGCCAAGGAACTCTTCTCCTGGCTCAACAGGTCTGGGGCAGGTGAGGGCATCCCTGGGTGCTGGGTGCCCCCCACTCCGGGGGCTGAGCTCTGTCTTCCCCCCAGGTACCTGTTCTCCACCCTCAACGACTTTTCGGCCAGCCGGGACATCATCCTGCTGTGTGCCCAGCTGGCAGAGACGCTGCAGGCGGTGAGTGCCCGGGGCTGGCTGCTCTCCTGACCCCCAGGGCTCTTCCAGCTGGAGGTGGGGCAAAAACTGGGGTGAGGGGAGATGGGGTGCAGGGGGTTCCCCATCCGGGATGGAGCCAGGCCATGGTGCTCATGCCCACGTCCCGTCCCCCAGGACCTTCCTGCGGCCGAGAGGAGCAGCGGGATCCTGCAGATTGTGAGTGCTGGGTGAGGAGGGGGTGGCAGGCCCGGGGGGCTGCCAGGGCCCCCCTCACCCCCGATGTACCCACAGTGCCAGCACATCGTGGGCATCTGCGAGAGCATCGTGGGCTGCAGCCCCCCGGCGCTGCTGGACCGCCGGGCTGTGCTGCAGCGCGTGGGGCTGGCGCTGCTCCCCGCCCCACAGGGCAGCCCCCCGACGTCCCCCAGCACCCCAACACTGCCCCTTGGCCTGCGGCAGAGCCCCCCAACATCCCCTGACACGCCAACGCTGTCCCCCAGCCAACGGAGCAGCCCCCCAGGATCCCCTGGCACCCCAACAGCACCCTCTGATCTTGTGGGGAGCCCCCAGTCACTCCTCACCGCCCGACTGGTGAGTCCCCTCCACCCCAGTGCCCCCTCTGCCTCGGGACCCCCTGCTCAGACCCCCATCTTGGCCCCCCCAGGGCTTTGAGATCACCTCCACCAGCTCCTGCCTGCACTTCGTGTCTGCCACCACCCCAGAGGTGAGTGAGGGGCTGCCCCTCAGTCAGCCCCTTTTATGCCCTGCAGGGAACACCCCCCATCCGTGGGCTCCACATTAGGGCTCTAATCTGCCCTCCCCAGACCTGGAGCAGGGGGGGTGCCTGTGGCTGAGCCCGTGCAACTCATGCCACGAGTGAGCACAGCCTGGGCACGGGGGAGCCCCCTCTGCACCCTGACCCCAGCAGCAGCTCCGGGGTGCTGTGCAAAGTCAGGCCAATGGTTAACCCCCCTGGTTCTCCCTGGCTGGGAGAGATCCTGAGTGGGATTAACTTGGGAGGGAGGGAGGGAGGGAACGCAGGGCTGGGCACCCCACTGCACCCCCTCTCTGCCCAGGCCCTGGCTGCCCACGGGGACCACATCCTGCCTGGAGATGAGATCGTGCAGGTCAACGAGCAGGTCGTGGTGAGTCGGGGACAGGGGCTTGAGGGTGCTGCTGGGTTCAGCAGGGAGGGCATGGGCAGTACTGGGGCTCAGCTGGGGGGTGCAGGAGTGATGGGCAGCAAAAAGCAGGAGCCATGGCTGGGAAAGGTCTGGGGAACACAGGAGACATTGCCAGGAGGATTTGGGGGATGTGGGATCTGTGGCTGGGGTGGGTTTGGGGGATGAAGCATCTGTGAGGCCAGGGCAGTGGCCCACAGCTCACCCAGGACTTGCAGGTGGGCTGGACTCCTGTCAACCTGGCGAGGAAGCTGCTGGAGAAGGGGAATGAGGTGACTTTGGTGCTGAAGAAGATCCCCCTCAACCTGCCTGGCACACCCCCCTCTCCCAGGCAGCAGGTGAGTGATCCCAGTGCTCCCAGTCCAGCCCCAGTGCCGCTCTGGGCTGGATGCTCAGAGCTGGGCATCTCCCATCACACTGGAGATTCCTAAAGCTCTGGGGTCCGTGGTGGGATGGGGCTGGCACTGACACTCCATCCACAGCCCCCAGGAGCATTTTTGGATGCTGCAGATTCCCCTGGCACCAGGAGTGGTGAGAGCCCTGGCAGCCCCGTGTCCTTGACCTCGAGGTGAGCCCCATCCTGACACCCCAACACCCCCAGTCTGGCCAGCAGGGAGATGTTTGGGTGCCCCCAGACCTTTTCCCAGGCCTTTTTTAGGGGGAGAGGTGCCAGCAGTGCAGCAGCTGCCTGCGAGCAGCCCGGGAAGCTGACAGGAGTCTTGAGGAATGACAAAAAGGGGAGTTTGTAATTCATTCACTTGGTAACGTTTTAGTGGGGCTGGAACTATATTTAGACATGACCCTTCTCCCCTCCCGGAATGGAAAGGCGTGCGGAGAGCCAGCGGCAGCGGGGCAGCAGCCGAGCTGGGGAGGCCGGTGGAGCTGAGCTGAGCTGGAGCTGCCACCGCATCCCCTCCAGCCCGTTCCAGGGCGGGGAGAGCCGTGGGTGCCCCGGCCCGAGGTGCATCAGGGACCTCAGGGGGCTCAGGGGTCCCGTGTTCCTCCCAGCGTTGCGGCCGACTTGGACTCAGGACCAGACTCTGTCCCGGATCCCGGCACTGACGAGGAGCAGGAAGAGGCCGGGCGGGATCTGAGGCTGCCCCAGGCAGCTGTGGAGGAGCTGCCGGGACCGTCTGGACAGGGTAGGATGGGAGCAGAGGGTGTCCAGGGACGCAGCAGTTCCCCCCAGGGTACGAGGCTGTACCCTGCTCGCTGTTCACAGGTGCTGCAGAGGAGGTGTGGGACAGTGGCAGCCCCCTGGGAACCCCCCTGGACACCCCCCCGAGCACCCCTGCTGCCACTGAACCCTGTGCCACAGAGCTGAGCCCCAGGGCAGCCCCTGCCACGGGGGCTGGGGGAGCAGAGCCCAGCCCTGAAGAGGTGAGAGCTGACATGCTGGGGGTGTCAGAGATTCCCCTCTGAGCCCCGGCTGTGGGTGTGTGAATTGGGGGTCCCTAAGGGCTGTGGTGCTGCTGGGGAGGCTCAGCAAATGCTACCCTGCCCTCACCCCCTGTGCTGTCACTAAAATCTCATCTGTCTCCCCACCCAGGGCAGCCCGAGCACGGGACGCAGACCAAAAGGTGAGCAGAGCCCTGCCAGGTTGGGCTGGGGGCTGTCCCGGGGGGCTCTGCGCCCCCTGCCCTGCCCTGACACCCCCGGGGCTGCGGTGCAGGAGTGGCGACCAGGCTGAGCCGCCGGCGCGTCTCGTGCCGGGACCTGGGCCGGGTGGACTGCGATGGGTGGCTCCTGAAGAAGAAGGAGCACGTGGGCTTCATGGCCCAGAAGTGGAAGCGCTGCTGGTGTGTGCTCAAGGGCCACACGCTCTACTGGTACAACCACCCCAACGTGAGTGGGCTGTGCCCGTCCCCGCCTGGGCAGCTGGCACGTCCCGCTGCCCGACACGGCTGTGCCCGACCCCGCAGGATGAGAGGGCTGCAGGACTCATCAACGTGGCCACCTACAACCTGGAGAGCACGAGGGAGCAGAAGAAGAAATAGTGAGTGGGGTCTGTCTCATTTTCACCCCCAGCTGCCGGTGGAAGAGGAGGAGATGCTGTCCCAAGGCCACGTGCTGATGTGTCCTGCTGGGAACCACTGCATGTCCCCACGGGGCTGCTGGGGTCCCCACGGGGCTGCTGGGGTCCCCACGGGGCTGGCACCTGTGCCCACGCTCTGAGCAAGGCCTGCATTGTGGCACTGGTGTTATCTGGGATGAGGCTGAGGACGGGCTGGGTTGGGATGGGGAGGCTGGAGGGGGGCTCGGGGCTGGTCCTGTGTCACCACAGCAGCACAGGCAGCCCCCCCCTTGTCCTCAGCGTGTTCCAGCTGTGCCACCAGACATACAAGCCTTTTGTTTTTGCTGCTGAAACCTTGGCTGACCTGAGCATGTGAGTAGCAGAGCCAAAAGTCAGCACTGGCCCCCCCACCCCGGGCTGGCCAGGACCCTCGTCCCCCTGTCTGTCCGTCCTTTCCCTCCCCAGGTGGGTGGGTCGCCTGGTAACAGCCAAAACAAAGTACACGCTGGCCCACCAGGCAGTCCCGGACAAGGAGGAAGGTAATGAGACCATCCCGGGCTGGGGTCGGTGGGAGGGGGTCCCCATGGGGGGTGCCCGGTGCCACAGCCCTGGCGTGGCACCGCTGGCAGCTTGGCCCGTGGGTTGGGGGAATGTGACAAACGCTCCCCGAGGGGCGGCTGGGATGGTTCCCAGCCCTGGGAGGGAATTTCTGTCTGCTCCCACGGCCTCCAGACTGCTACAGTGAGACAGAAGCTGAGGACCCCGATGATGAGACCCCCAGGCACGGATCTGACTCGGTGAGTGGCTCTGGGGGACACCCTGGGGACAGAGGGACAGTTCCTTGTCTCACTGCTGCCCATCTCCCCCTCAGCCAAGGAAGAGGCTGCAGAACCCCGCGGAGAAGGCACAGCTCTCCCCAGCCAGCAGCCCCCAGGGCAGCCCCCGGCCCTGCTCCCCCATGGGTAGGTGCAGGGGGGACATCTGAGCCCTGTCATCTCCTGTCTCTCCCTTTTGCCCCTGGGCGTGCTGGGGGTAACTCGAGTTGGGGTGAGTTTGGGTGGGAGCCATCTCGGGGTGAAGGAGACTACAGGAAAGATGGAGAGGGATTTTTTTAATGAGGACACAGAGTGACAGGGCAAGGGGGAATGGATTTAAACTAAAAAGGGTAGGTTTAGATTGGTTTAGAAGGACAGTTTTCCCTGTGTGAGTGGGCAGGCCCTGGCACAGGGTGCCCAGAGCAGCTGTGGCTGCCCTGGATCCTTGGCAGTGCCCAAGGCCGGGTTGGATGGAGCTTGGAGCACCCTGGGACAGTGGGAGATGTCCCTGCCATGGCAGAGGTGGAACAAGATGATCTTTAAGGTCCCTTCCGAGCCGAACCACTGCACGATCCCACGCCTTTGTGGCAGGGCCATGCACGGGGGAGCCCCGCGGGGTCTCGGGGCTGCCCTCGTGCTCCAGTGCCCCCTGTCCTCGCCCAGAGCCCGCCGGGGAGGACCTGGAGAGCCTGGCGCGGTGCCTGAGGCAGGGCGGGGTGTCCCTGATGGGGCAGCGGCGGGCCCTGACGCAGGAGCAGTGCCGAAAGTCCTTCCTGCGGCGCAACAGGAACCCGCACATCAACGAGAGGGTGCACGCCGTGCGGGCCCTGCAGAGCACGCTCAAGGTGCGGCCCCGCAGCCCCCTCCCCAAGCCCCCCGCCCGCGGCTGCCCCCGCAAACCCGCGTTGCTCCGGGCAGGCGAAGCTGGCGGAGCTGCAGGCGCTGGAGCAGCTGCTGGGAGAGGCCGCGCTCACCTCGGACACCTTCAGGCGCTGGAAGGAGGAGCACCAGGAGCTGTACCAGGAGCTGCGGGAGGGCTGGGCAGGGCAGCAGGGCCAGGGCCAGCAGCAGGGCGCTGCTGGAGAGCGGCACAGCCCGCACGGAGAGGCGGCGGAGCCCTGACACCCGCCCGGGCCCGGCGTGGGGCGCTGCCCGCAGGACTCGGGGCACGCTTTGCGCAGTCCTGTGTTCCTCAACATGGCATCTTTTGGAAGGCTCAGCCCGCACCCCGCAGGGGATCCGGCTCCTTAATTTTTAAGTGACGAGTCTTAAGTGTTCCTGGCCTTGGCTGCAGGAAAAGGGGATTTTCATTCCCTGCCCGGTGCTGCCAGCCGGCCCTCCTGCTGTAAATAAAGGTGCTGACAAGGCCCGGTCGTGCCGTGCTTTTGCTTGGCGCTGAAATCATCAAATCCTGGGGTTGTTTACGCTGGAAGAGACCTCGGAGGTGACGGCGTCCAGCTGTAACCCTGGCACTGCCGCCACATCCGCGTGTTCTTGCCCACTCCCAGGGACGGTGACCCAACCACCGCCTCGGGCAGCCTGTGCCAGTGCCTGACCACTTTTTCCATGAAGAAATCCCTCTGGAGTGCAGCCTGAGGCGGTTTCCCCCCGTCCGTCGCTCTCCGGGCGGGCTCCGCCATCGCCCCGCGCGGATTCCCCTCAGCGCCCGCACTACGGGGGCCGCCCGCGGCCACTCTCGCCCCGCCGCGGCGGGGGCGGGGACAGCGTTCAGGCGAGCCAATGAGGCGCCCCCGGGGGCGTGGCCGGAGTTGCCGATTGGCTGAGGCGCCGGGAAGCCACGCCCCGCGCGCTGTGCCCCGCCCCCCGGCGGCGGAGGTAACGGTCGCGGCGCGCGGGGGTGGCGGGAGAGGCGCGGCGGCGGCGGCGGCAGGTGAGGGACAGAGCCCGGCCCCACACGGCACTGCCAGCGGTACCGGCAACGGGCACCGGCATTGCCCCTGGGCACCGGCACTAGGTACCGGCAGCGCCACCGGGAACCCGCCCCACACGGCATTGCCACTGGTACCGGCACCGGTCCCGGCAGTGCCGCCGTGCCCGCACCCTGCAGCCCGTCAGAGCCCCATCCCTCCGCTCCCTGTGGCCCCCAGCCCCCGGGGACCCTCAGGCTCTGTCCCCTCACGGACCGGGCCTCCACCCAAAATCAGGCCTGGCTGCTAAATGAACTCACCTCAATTAACCATAACAAGCGCTGCGTTGGTGCGGGAGTGATTCGTTTCTTTGCTGGGTAAAACGCTGTTTCTGCTTCATTAAGGTGTTGTATTCCCAGTGTTTCTGCTAGGTTGTAATGTCTGTGTGTATGAATTATGAATGTTTTCTAGGAATTGATGTCTCTGAGCTCCTTGAATCAGTTTAACAAAAATCCATAACAGCTGCTGAGTGGGGATTGAGTGTGGCTTGGTAGCGGCCTTGAATTTCCACTGTGTCGATGTAAATTGCACCTGCATTATCAGAGAGAGGAAATTCACTGTCTGAAGCACTCAGAGAAAAGATAAATTAACCCAAAACTCTGGGCAGATAAAGGTTGCTATTCATGGCACAGAAAGGCTGATTTTTGAAGGACTTTTTTCCTCGTGTAGTTGCTCAATGACCTCTACAGAGGGCAGAAATGATCTGGTTGGGAGTGAAGAGTTTTAAAGAGAAATTTTTAGTCTCTGTAGACACAGATTCAGCCTGCAGGTACTGCTCTGTAAATACCCTCCTTGGGGATAACAGCTGGAAGGTGCTGCTGAATACCTGGAGAATGGTGCAAACAGGAATTCTCCTTTCTCAGGCATAAAAAAAATCTACAAGGGTTTGTTTTTTGGGTTTTTTAAGTGTTGCTGCAGGGAAAAACCAGATATTATTGGGAGAAGACGCTAATTAAATATTAAATGCTGTGTTACTCTGATGAGTAGCTGCTCTGTGTGTACCCTTTGCTTGGTTAGGGGGGACGGGGTGTGGATTATACTCACTTAAAGTAAGATTTGTATTCATTTATCCAGTTCTCTAGATAGATAAGATGGCTGCTCCTGAGAAAGATCCAGACCTGAGGTTCCTGCAGAAAAATCCATCAGGTAAGGACAGTCCTTTCTCCAAAGCCCTGCTGCTGTCAGATCCTATTTCACTTTCTCTGAGGAGACATGTGGCCCTCAGAAGATTCTCTGCCACAAGCTTTTTTGTTAAAAAAAGTCTTTATTTTCTACCCTTGCCTGCTTTTTCAGCAGTCATTTGATAAGGACTTTCTCCCCTGAGCTGGTAGCTGATGAATCTGGGAGAGTTCTTTAGAGTAAATGCAGAAATACCTCTTTAACTTGCCCAGTTTTGCTGTGCTGCTGCTCTTTTTAGTCAGAGCACCAGCTGGATGTAACATGACCAAACTAATCAATGGGAATATAATTTACAGCTCCTGCAGTCTGACTCCCTTACCAAGATTGTTTTTCAGCCTCCTGTTGATGTTATTTCACTTCCCTGTGCTTCCTGCCATTTTCTTTTGTGAAAGATTTTTTTTTTAACAGGAACACAGGGAGCGAAGCAAGGACCAGCTTGGGGTTTGGAGGCGCTGGTAATTACATGTGGCTTAATTACAGCACAAATATCCCTGTTTTTCCTCTGCAGAGCCCAGCAGCTGCCAGAAGAGCAGGTTCCTGGAGAGTGAGTGGAAGACACCGATGGTGTCCCTGGGGTCCCTGAGCCGCTGTCCCAGCGTGGCCGAGAGCGGGGACGGCGGCATCGGCACCTCCTGCTCGGACAGCACCGAAGGTGATGGGCACTGCTGGGTCACAGGAACCTGCAGGGCACAGCTTGCCACTGTGTCTGCAGCCGTTTCAAACCCAGATGTCTGGAGTGTAACCGAGTGAGGAGGGTGCTGGCTGTTTCCCTGAGCTTGGTTATTGTCCCTCTGCAGGGCTTTTAACTGACTAAAAGCCACCTTGGTGACTTGCTGAGTCTTGTTGTTCAGTGAGAGGTTTATCAGCAAGTCTGTTGAGTGCTTTCCTAATTTTTTTTTTTTTTTAAGGAAATAATTTGTAGTTACCTTTATGCAGAAGTGTTTGGCTCTTCAGTGTTAGAGCTGAGAACTCTGCAGCCTGACCTTCAACTGAGGCACTCTGTGAAATTTCTGGTCCCAGCAATCCTTTCCACCTGTTTTTTTCACCTTTATTGATTATTTTTTCAGTAGTGAGGGACTTTGTGGTGTTCCCTAAAGCACTTCACACATCCCTGTGTTCCAGGGAGCCTTTGGAATGAGCTGTAGATCTCAGTGAGGTGCCAGTGAAATGGAGGCTTTAGCAGGTCTGGCTGTTGGAAGGATTGCTAGAAATATTACACGAGCAGGTGTTTAAGTGTTCCATCAGGATAACAAAACAGCCATTTGGCAGCTGGGGGCAGGGGAGATGATTTCCTTTGGGAAATGACCCCTCTGGGCACGGGTGATGTCCCAGCAGTGTTGTGGGAGCCGAGGGTGACCTGCAGCCCTGGCTGCTGCTGAGGCACGCTGAGCTCAGTACATTAGTCAGAAATGTTGTTGTGAGGACCCTCAGCACACTCCAGGAACTGATTGCAGCACCCCCACGTGATGTGCTGCTCGGGGAACTCTGGTCCCTGACAGTGACACCAGGGGATAAATTTAGGGACTGTAAAAGGAAATGCTGCTGTCTCTTCCCTCTGCCAAGGTGAAGGTGCTTGCAGCTGCCCAGTAGCAGGGTGTTCTCTGGAGTCCCCAGGCACAGCCAAGCTGTGGCTGAGCGATTTCCTGCCCTCACTGCTCATTTGTGATGAAAGCATTGAGTGCCTTTGTTGTGACATTTGTCCTGTGGCGTGATTTTGGTCTTTGCAGGGTCTGATTTGGGCTGTACTCAGCTGGTGGTGTTTATTCACTGTTGTAGCAGTGCTTGGAGGGTACAAACAGGTGGGAGGGTGACTTGTTGGAGCATCACGTGGGGACGGGCCTTTGGCCAAAGCCATGAGGAAATCAAGTGTGTGTTCCTGGGAGAAACCTGGAGTTCCTGCGACACAGAACGTCTCGGGACAAGGAGTGGGAACGGGCACTTTGCTGATTGCCTTTCTCAGCCCTTGCTGTTGCTGTATGGAAATCTGAGAGTTGCTAAGAATAACCCCGAGTTCCTGCAGCCAGGTTTGGTGCCCCGCTGGCAGGACGGGAGCTCTGTCTCGCTTCCTGTGGCCGTAGGTGAGAGCCATTGCTCCAGCTCTGGGACAGGCTCTTGCTGAGGTGTCCTGGAGAAGCTGGAAGGTCAGATCCTCGGGGTCAGCGATGTTGGAGGCTCATCATGGGCTCAGGGAAGGCTCCTGTTAGCTCTGCTCACGCTCCAGAGTCGCTGAGCTGCGGGACGGGCAGAGCAGGATCACGGGCTCAGTGTTCAGATCAGTAAGTTTCAGCCTTTTTATTCAGTATCAAGGACTTGATTTCTAAACCTAGAGAAAGATTGAGTCAAGATTATACTAGAGTAGCTTAAAAACTAGGATTAAAAATAGGGATTAAACTCGGATTCTTCCTGTGGTGGTAGGATAAGGTCAGCAGGTTCCTGAAACTTGTAGCGAGGGGGAACACAAGTGCCTGAGTCATGCTGCTGCTCAGGAGGACATGTTCAGTGGGAAAGGAACTGGTTTTAAAATCATTTTGGAAAGCTCAATGGAGGATTGCATTTTCAGGACTGTAATTAGATGATCACTCTTCTTCTTCCCCCAGACTTCTGCAATTCCAGTAGCGGTTCCTCATTCCACCCCATCAAAACCCAGGTGACCATTCCGACAGCCCACGTTATGCCTTCCACGCTGGGCGCCTCGCCCTCCAAGCTGGACCAGGGCTGTTCCCAGAGCTCTGCGGGGCCAGGCTCTGCCCCTGACCGCCCGGGGCTCGCCAGGAACGGGGACCTGAGCGCCGGGACGTCCTCTCAGGTGCCACCCAGGGAGCTGCTGCGCCTCGGCAGGGCTGCGGGGGACAGGGGCTGCGAGCACGCCAGGACGGAGGGCGCCTGGAAGTTTGACACCCCCGCCATCGAGCAGACCCTTAACCAGTCTCTCTTCCTGGACAGCCTGTGCGCCGACCCTCTGCACAGGTGCCAGAAGCTCAGCCCAAGCTCTGAGGCGGGCAAGGACCATTACAA